AAAAAAAATTCGACAGTTTCAATCGGAACTCCGACATTTCCATTCTGGTCGTACAATTCCTACAGTCGGTCGAATTTCGGTCGATATGAAATTTCGCCGAGATGTCATCAGTATAACGTAACGATTGATCTCTGTTAGCATAACTCCAATCGTACAAGTCATCGTTTTATTGTCTTGGTTTCTGATTGCAAATCGAATGTGATATGTTGTTTTAAGAAAGTGTTCGTATCGTTTTTTATTTTCATTGCAGTAGGAAATTATTGTTTTGGTATGTGATAATAAACATTGGTGTAGCCGGGAGAGGGCGCAAAATGATCTGATCCCCAAAAAAAGCTGAATTTTGAGTCGGACATTTCGATGTTTTCCCCCCCCCCCCCCTTCTTTCCCTTTGTTGCCACTTCCTCCCTAGCCTCCCCCGTCTTTTTCTGGCAGTTCAGTGGGAGAGGGGACTCTCGTTGCGCTCCCTACCTCTTGGCTACGCATGTGGCTGTTGTTATTAATCAGAAATATTCAAGTAAATATTTTTATTCATTGTGAGGGGCACTTCAAGTAATCGTAAAGAAAATTGCGCATTTTACATAAAATCTTTACTAAAAATGTTTATTAAAGATAATAAATGTTGAAAAGAGGCGAAAAAATTTTCAACACTTATTAAAGGTAATAAATGTGCAATCAGGGATGGGATGGTGAAGGGTGATGTCGAAAACGAGAAGACCATTTTCGATCCGAATAAGTGAAAAAACTGAGGTTGTAATATAAACTTAACGACAGCAACATTAACAATCGAGCTGATGATATGAGGACAGTTCGAATTATGGTAATGACAAGAACATCAATTTACTGACAGTACAATGATTAGAGTGATATCGGTAATGACGATGATTGAATCAAGAGAATGTAACAACTGCAAAATGTGAACAACAAAAAACATTAATAACGATAACAAGCAACCGAAAACATTCTGAATCCTTCATAACATGATTATTTTTCATAACATTCTAGAACAAGAACTCCATAACACAATGAGAGCCAATGGTATGAATGAAGCTAAAAAAATTCGAGTACCTACTCTCCAGTTAGTTTTATTTTCGAAAATCAACAACATTCATTATACAATATGGATTTGGAAAATGGCATAGAATGCACTACCTAATCTACCGAGTCCTTCATGAATTCAGTTCCGGTGACTATCAATATTTTGTTGAATAATCTTGATTCAGCACAAAATTTATGATATGATCATGTTGGTGAGATCTGTGAACGGTATTTCGAGATTTAGCATATCTCGAAGAATCCCTTCGTATCATTTATAAGAATCGCTAGCGTTGTTACTACGAGTAGTGATCTGACCATTTGAAACTGAACTCACTCAATTTTAACATAAATGTTCATCCCAAACGAATCATCAGCCATGACGTATGCTCGTTGTTCTTGTGATAAGGTGAAGAAAAGATTCGTAGAATAGCCACAAACTCATTTCTCTCGTCAATTTGCAAACTCTCCTACACAACTTCTACTCTTCTACAAAGTCTCACTGCCGACTCACCTCATCGATCAACACTATTTTCTCCATAATTCTCCTTGAGCTTTAGTATCCTAAAAACACCAGTCTTAAACACGTTAAGGAATTGAACGCGACCACTTATAGCGGCAGCTGGTGACACCCGATTCAGTCACATGCTTTATTCAATTGTAAGGTGCTCGTTTGAGTGTTAAAAAAAAGTAGTTTCGCCCGATCAACTTCCTTGTTTCTTGGCAACCGAGAGATTACTCCTTAAACACGCTCTCGTAATGATATTACATCAAAAAATACTCTCAATAATGAACTCCAATCAAATAAGGACAATAAAAAGTTTTAACAAAATTTTATCGCAACCAATATCGAAACCTACACATTCAACAGTTATCAAGTGAGACAAATCATTCAAGTGATCGATAACATTGAATAATAAACCGAACGCCTTTAATATACAACCTAGAAATGTTGAAAAAAGACAAATAAACTCTAAAATGCAAATAACAATTGTCATATATCATACAAGTTTGCCATATTCTAGCAAATACAATTCCTATCTGTCGTCAAATAAACGAAAGCAAAAGTTCTTCATGACAACAACAAAGAATGCGCTTTTTGATAAGCGCACATACCACTGATATAACTGCAAATGAAAAAACAATAAAACAAATCGCAACAATAAAACCGAACAGACAATGATAACTTATTCTGATTTTCAATGAACGTACTGAGAATATGGAATATGAGCGAACATTCCGAAGCGATGTTTGATATGAAGATCGGTGAGGAGATTAACGTTAGGAAGAGATATTGAAATGCTCGCCCCAGATGGCATTCATCAAATATATAAATACTACACAAGTTCAGAAATTCATTTTGACACAATAAAACAAATCTCTCATTAATAAGCAACAACAGTGTTCAGTGATACACGCAAGACGGTCACTAATCAGCGAGTAGTTCCTCATCCAATATCCCGAAGATCACCATCGAACAATCTTTGCATAACGTCTTTCAAAATGCTCCATCCATCCCCAACACTCGACCAATTGCCCATCCCTTATCGTGATATCTTTCATTGCCTGTCAACGATAAAAAGAACCTCGACGGAACTAAAATAATGCCCAATCCAGCGTGCACACCGACATTAACAATCAACGTTTCAAGCTCGTTTTGATTTTTGATTGAAGCCAAGTCGTCGTTTTCAGTGCTTACCAGAGCTCAATTTTACAATTAGCAATAATGAATGCACTATTTCATCGTTTTCACATAATATACAGTAAGGGCTGTTTGTAGGGAGTGCTCTTATCCTTACATCCGTAAACGTATCGTCCCATGGTCCTTAAATCCAACTCCTCGGACTGTGACTCGACTTTAATCTGAAAAAATATTATGTTGATAGAAGTGCTCACTGAACTGCCGTATCTGGAACGGTTATGATGATGCTCGGCAATCCCTGTATTTGATAACAGAAATTCTTCAAACTGAAAGTTTAGGAATAGACTGTTTCAACACGTAAAACGTTGTGCATTGAGAGAAACAAGACTGATGGAGCTGAATGAAATAAGTGCATTTGAAACTATGATCATTTTCAAGTTAATAACGAAGACGATCCTTAGAATTCATTGAGGTCAATGTAAACAAATAAAACAGTCATGAGAGCACATCTAATTAAGGCGCTCTCGAAAATCGCTTGTTATCGAATCGCCATCTCAACCAAAAACACTTCATAAACGATTAATGTCAAATTCAGGCAACACGTTGATCAATGCATCATCACCATCTACAAGTGAACAGCCACAAGTCACAACAAGCTTCTTGAGAGTAATAATCGAACCTCACAAACAAGATGTAAATTGCCGAATTCACCATCGAACTCATCATAATCGTCGTCATCGTAAGGCTGCTGGTTAAAGGCGCGCAATGTTTCCATCACCACATTACGATCCAAGAATTTTGCATAACCGAGTGTTTTGTTCTTATAAAAGAGCTGAGCACATGGCGTCTCTAAAAAACAAAAAATGAACATTGATGTGTGACGAAATCACATGGTGATAGGTGTAACCTCTTCAGAAGCACTATTATTTTCACTCGACGATTTTCGACATTTACCGAAAAACTACGAAACTCCTTTTGAATACTAGATGCGCTACTTTAACCCGATACATTTCATCAAAAGAACTTTGTTTCAAATTTGGATAACTATTCGAATATTGGTTTAACTATAGGTCACCGTTGCGGCTGCAGTGATTACAAAACAGTCGTAATTTACGATGAGCATTCATTCAAAAAATAGATTCAAATAGATTTCGTTCAAATTCATTTCATTCATTCATTTAAAAAATAGATGAGCATTCAGAAAAAGATAGATTTTAGACAAGGTTTTTTGCACAGATGTAAATGAAGATGTAAATCTTACCGACATACTGAATCACTTCATCGGTATCGTCGAGATTGTAAACCCATGAGAAGCGGAACGAAGCCATTACTCTTTTGTGTTGGCACTCTTCAAGTCGTAAAAACACACCAATATATTCATGACCATCGTCCATAGGCACTGAAATATGTGACAGGTGAACGGTTGATAAATTAACCAAGTAGACGAGTCATTAAGTGACGATTAATCAATCT